GTGATATAGCCAAAGATCGAGCTAAAAATCTGGAACAGTCGTCATTGGATTGAGCTTGTATATATTTCTGAATTCAATAGATCTGAATGAGAACATGAGAACACAGTCATGATCAATTCAGGCCTTAAAACTAATGCACTTCTATCGCAGAGCGATGGATGTCTGACAACCTATGCGATGGGTTGTTCTATTTTGCAATAGCCAATAACCCCCTGTCTCTGAGGCTGCTTCCAGAATCGCTTCGAATGAGTCTAATATTCACTAATTATCGGGGTCTTGCGCTTGGATTTAGCCTTGAATAGTGTGATAATCGTGGCAATGCTAGAAGTGGGGACCCCAAGAGCAGGACTGTGAAGACTGACCATTATCTATATATTTGTCTTTCTAGAGAAGTATACAGAGTATGTTTATCTCTGTCAAAGAGAGCCCATCAACTGGGCGCAAAGGACTCCATCTATAGGGACGGCCAAGAGTCCAAGACATTTGTGGTTGCCGTATCCATCCGTCACTATCCAAGTTTAAAGGAGAATCCTCTTGGAGTATGGTTGGACAGATTATGCTTAGCTGCCGCCAATGGCTCGTCTTAGGCTATTATTTTACTCTGTACCACAGTAGACCCTGATCCCTCTGCCGCAGCGTTCCCATCACCATGTTTAGATCATAATATGGTTCCTTTTCATGACAGAATCAATGGTAAATGGTCCACTTGTTCCAGACCTTCCAAACCCCGAGGTCCTTAATTCGCTCAGTGGCCTTGCGCGTAAGCTCTACCATGACCATGGATCCCATCATTATTGGAATGAAAAGTATGGAACTGCCAGAACCCTCCAACCGAGAAGTAAGAGGGAAAAAGCACTATTATGATGTCCCGCTTTGATGTCATCCATTCTGCTGTAAGCCCTCATCCCGGATAGCCGTCCACTTTCATTTCATTCAACCACACTAAACACAAAAGAAGGATGGGCCAGAGTAATGATAATCTATCATGACCACTCAACTAATCTATCTAACTATAACTACTATTCTTATCATTTATCATCATCCTTGTTAGCTACCTAGTTAAGATGACCCTGCTCCAAGTTTCCTAGAGCCCTCTAATTCTCTTCTATGGCCTCTTCTACGTCCTCTCCACCCAGCTTCACACCGGCACAAATTCTCCCATACATCGTACCGGGCTCTATCTAAAATCCACATGCACAATTACAAGCCTCAAGCTCACTATGGCGGAGGGTTCGCAGGAGACGGACGATCAAAGGGTCCAGGTGTCGCGAGCTTCGACAGCCCCCGCGTTGCCCGCAATCATCACCACCACCGCGAGCAGTCGCAAGGAAGGCCATCACAATAATGATAACAGCAATAAGAATGATAGTCCCACTGTCGCGACACTAGGACTTTTAAAGACTTCACAGTCTTTCCCTATCGGTATGTGCAACTCTTATCGTCTTCCTTTTTTTAAGGACTGGCCATTCCAACAAATCAGCCCCGTTCGTTCCAGCTCCCGCAATTCAATCACCAATGATTCTGTAATGTGTCACCCGCTGATGGTTATTTGCTTTTCTCGGGGACTTGATAGGTTCTGTCGCGTCCGATAATGCATCAGGCTCAAGCGCAAATCAGCAAGATGCGAAGAAGACTGCCCGATCGTCGATCCAGAGTAATACATATGGCAGAAATTCCTTTTCCTCCCCGACGCTCTATGGGCCCAGCGCAGATTCGAGCGCGATCGATCCGCTGTCGCAAGTGAGTTTCTTCGCATTACTCACCTTACAATACAATGTTATGTTAGAAGATTGAGGACTGATGCACTACTGCCGAATTTAGCACATCATTAAGCGCACCAATACCGAACGATCTATTCCTCTGAAACTCCTTGGAAGAGCATCATATGAAGCGGAAGCTCGCGGAACGAACGACTACTCTCCAGCTGAGCAGGGCTCGATACCGGGAGATTCTGTGTTGCGCCAGAAGCCTCCCAAAGAGAAAAGGTACGTGGCACCTGTCTCGTTCAGTTCAGTTTTCAATAGGTCATTGTCTTTCATTCGTCCTCCAACATATGATTCCCTGTCAGATGCACTCACAACTCCACCCTCTTCCTCTCCAACAACGAAGCTCGTCACTGCTTTCCGAACAATTACTTGATAATAACGAGGCATACTTGAGATTCACAGGAAAGGAGTATCGTTCCTTAGTCGGATAATCGGGGGCAAAAAGAAAGAGAATCTGTCTGAAGCAGGGGACGATGTCTCGGAACCGGACACCCTCCGCATGGATGCCAACGCCGCGGCGCAACCGATAGGCTTCTTTCCCAAGTTTCCTCCTCCGCCAAAGTACATCAGGGTGAAGGCATACTACAAGAAAGACAAAACGTTCAGTAGGGTCTTTCTCGCGCAGGAATTGACTGACACAGAGGTACCCTCGAACCACTCGGTAAAGGATGCAACGGGATCGACGACAGGCACGCTAAGCGGCGGCAATACCGGAAAAGCAATATGGGCGTTGTCATTCTCGAAGGACGGCAAGTATCTAGCAGCGGCAGGTCAAGACAGAAGAGTGCGCGTTTGGGCCGTCATTGCTTCTCCAGAAGATCGTAAAGAAGGACTCGGTGAAGGCGAAGAAGCTCAGGACGGGGACGAGCCTCCCCGGCTCAAGGCGCCTGTCTTTAGGACCAAGCCGATTCAAGTGTACGAAGGTCACAGTGGAAGCGTGCTGGACCTGAGTTGGAGTAAGGTACGAGTCTCACATCGAAGAGGCTTATAATGGGAGTCTGACGCGGGTGATCAGAATAACTTTCTATTGTCTTCATCGATGGACAAGACTGTCCGCTTGTGGCATGTGACAAGGTCGGAGTGTCTATGCTGCTTCCAGCACAGTGATTTTGTTACTTCTATCCAGTTCCACCCCCGTGACGATCGGTTTTTTCTCGCAGGGTCCCTCGACACTAAGCTCCGTCTCTGGAGCATCCCGGACAAAAGCGTGGCGTTCGTCGCCGCGGTCCCGGATATGATCACATCGGTCGCTTTCACCCCTGATGGGAGGCACTCAATTGCCGGTTGTCTCAATGGTATGTGCAACATATACGACACGGATGGATTGAAGCCGGTTGGGCAGATACATGTCCGATCCGCGCGAGGCCGCAACGCCAAAGGCAGTAAGATAACAGGCATTGATACCATTACGTTACCTCCTGGCGACCCCAATGGTGAGGTCAAGCTTCTGATCACAAGTAATGATTCGCGGATACGACAGTACAACTTTAGGGATAGGACACTGGAGGCGAAGTATCGCGGCAACGAGAACACATGCAGTCAGATCCGTGCCTCCTTTAGTGACGACGGCAAACATATCATTTGCGGGAGTGAAGATCGCCGGGCATATGTTTGGCCTACAGGTGCCGTGGAGAAAGACTTCGATAAGCGTGCTGTTGAAGTTTTTGAGACACGGTCCGCTATTGTCACCGCAGCTGTGATGGCTCCCTCGAAGACAAAGCAGGTCTTGGGCTTTTCAGACGACCCAGTGTACGACATCTGCAATCCACCTCCGGTGACCTTGGTGAGCGCCGCAGAGAAGGGGAATGCTCGCCAAAATCGCATCTCCGACATCAGCAAGCTGGCGCAGGAATCCCCATCATATTTCTCCCGTTCAACACACCCTGAAGGCAATATCATCATCATCGCCGATTATTCGGGCAAGATCAGAGTTCTGCGGCAAGACTGCGCATTCCAAAAGCGCCGCTACGAGAATTGGGACACCCATTCCACCTTTTCCAGAAGACTGTTGCGCCGATCCAATTCTGCTCGCCATAGCGTTGCGTCTTCGATCGGGAAGGAGTCATCTCACAAGACACCGTCAGAGCGCATCATCTCTTGGCGCAACTCGGTTATAGGGCACGATGCGGCGAAGCGGGAAGGCTCCCGTCATGGAACGAGGACGAGGAGTCCGTCTCCCCACAAGTCTATACCCGATGTTTCACGTTACTCAAGTCCAGTGCGTCAATTTTCAGGCGGAGCACCGGCCGATTCCCTCTCGCTCACTGTGTCTCCGCCGCCCTCTGGGTACAAGTCATCCTTTGACAGTCGACGGTCCAGTGTAGAAGCCTCGAAGCGGAACGCGGAGGACGTCGGAATGGCCCCGACCGCGAGGACAATAGTCGCCAAGGGAAAGGACAAGGGCAACCCTTTGTGGCTACAGGGCCAACAGAGCTATGCATTCTGGAACAAGATCGCCCATGATGCGCTGGCAGCGCAGAACAAAACGCCGTCGCAGCCACGGGATTCGAATAGGTTATCTGTTCCAGGACGTAAATTCAGTACGGCCAGCGCTTTGAGCAGCGATTATGGCTCCTCCAATGGAGAGGGAGACGAGGGAGATGTGCTCAGGTGTGATAACTGCCAAGGGACGAACTTTCGAGCAACCAAGTCGCGGACCGGCAAGCAGAAATTGATCTGCGTGAGCTGTCATCAACCTATCAACTAAGCACAGATGGAGCTTATCTACCTGCATTTTCTGCATATGTTTTTCTATTCTCTAGAGTAGTATTTTGCATTTTGGGTGTCACTTGTCTATTTTGGATTCAAATCTGCAGGGGCCGTTGTATTTAGCAGCTTGTACAGTACACGAAATGATGATGGATGATCATGACGGACGACGGATGACGGGATGTTTCCTTTTGGCATGAACTTGAGGTGTAAAATTTTCATTATTAACGTGTCCATGACACTCGGTTAGTCAACTCTTGTTGCAATTCCAGTTTTGGCGCTCAGATTCCCGTCCAGTTGGCCGCCCTGCCAAGCCTCGACCACAGCCAAATGAAATGAAATCGTTCAACTCCACGTTGTCCAATGTCCGCAGTTGCACTCCACTTCCAGCTCAATTGCATCCACCATAAACGAAATCTCCAGCAGTCAGCCATTAGCCAGCACTTCTGCATCTGGAACGCCTTACAAACAGTCTAGCTATTGCGCGCACAATTCCGAGAAACAGGAGAAATCAACCCAGGCAAGATGCCATACCTACCCACAAGCCAGGCCTTCCTGGAACAATCCGCTCTACTGCTTGAAGCATACCCAGAGACCGTACGTCAAGACCAGGAGGATCTTACCTCATGCAAAGGACCCCTCAGACTTCCCTGCCAATGAGCCAAACCCCATTAGACCGTGACTGACCCTCCAACGCAACCGCGCAGACCCGCATCACAACAAAATATGGCTTCCCCTCACAACGACCTTCAGCACAGAAAAAGCCCTCCTCGACACCAAACCCGGAGATGACCGACTCCCCAGCCTCAACTGCCGCCAACCCCGTCGCAGTCCTCACCCTGAAAACATACAACCCAACCGCAGGCATCTGCCTGAAGTACCGCACGAATAAAGCCGCGGAGGTCGGTCGACTGGTGACCAGCCTGGGCAAGTTGGCGGGCGGTGCGAACGCCGCGGGGCTGGGCCTCTCGGCTCCGGCGCCGACGACAACTGCTTCAGCTACTGCGGATGTGGAGATGACGGACGCTCCGGCGGTGGTCGAGGAGGCTGCGAGTGCGAATGCGAGCAAGACGGATACGGGTGCTAAGGGTGGGAAATCAAAGAAGAAAGGCGGGAAGGGAAAGAGGTGATGAGTAGCGAGAGGACAAGCGTATTTGAACGAGGAATGAGGGGTGTCCGTCACCGGATACTGCACGAATGATGACTACTGTGGCCTGCGAAGTGGTGCTGCTCGCTGTTTCGCCTCTGATCGATCGATCTGAGACTTGATGTAGACCGTCGGAACAGCTGTGATGATGAGAGCGGCTTGCTCCGGTTTCGTGCGTCTGATCTGAGACTCCGTCGAAGCGCACCAGCAGCGTTAAAATGACGGCACTCGGGGAAGAGCGGAGACAAGAGGGTTCATGACTCGCATAACGAAGCGGATCTGGAGCGTGTGAATCATTCATTATCAGCAGATTACAATTCCATGAAGGTTGGGTCCAAGTCAGCCGAAGAAACAGAGAAAAAAATCTATCAAAATATCCAAGTGGAATGTATAGTGCTACTCATTCTAACTAAATACATTGCATCCGTCCATACACTCATTATATGCCGAACATCTTCTGAATGGCGGAGCGGAAGACGCATAATACAGACACAAAGAAAAATTCCGCCAGTTCCCAACGCCGTGCCCATGCGTAGCCCTCAAAAATAGAAACATCATAAATCAATAACGAAGGTGAGCAAACGAGACAATTATCTTCATATCGAATGGCAGGCGCCAGAGACACTCCAAGGGTCCCGAACATGGCACACAGCTGGGTATAAGTTGTTCAGTATTGGTTTAGAAGTCTTCGTCAAAGCTGAGACCTCCATCATTGGCGTCCTTTGCAGTGTCCTGGGTGGCATCCTTCTTGGTGCTGGCCATGACACCGGCCTTCTGGTAGTCACCAACACGCTTCTCAAAGAAGTTGGTCTTTCCTGCAAGAGAGATACTCTCCATGAAGTCGAAGGGGTTTGGAGAGTTGTAGTACTTCTTGTTTCCGAGGGCGACCAACAGCCGGTCAGCAACGAACTCAATGTACTGGCACATCAGCTTAGAGTTCATGCCCAGGAGGCCGACAGGAAGAGCGTCTGTCAAGAACTCCTGTTCGATGGCCACAGCCTCAACGATGATATCCTCAACAACCTTCTTGTCGGGGCGATGGTTTAAGTGCGAGAACAGAAGGCAGGCAAAGTCAGTGTGCAGTCCCTCGTCACGAGAGATGAGCTCGTTGGAGAAAGTGAGACCCGGCATCAATCCACGCTTCTTCAGCCAGAAGATGGAAGCAAAAGATCCAGAGAAGAAGATTCCCTCCACAGCAGCGAAGGCCACAAGACGCTGGGCGAAAGTAGATTCCTTATCCGAAATCCAGGTCATGGCCCACTGGGCCTTCTTGGCGATACAAGGAACTGGGAAAATTAGTGACTGGTCTAAACAAGAGGAAGAGACAACAGCATACTGGTATCAATGGCATCAAAGAGGTAGGTCCGCTGCTTAGGCTCCTTGATGTATGTATCAATCAGCAGGGAGTATGTCTCCGAATGAATGTTCTCAATCATGATCTGGAAGCCGTAGAAGCACCGAGCCTCAGGCACCTGCACCTCATTGCTGAAACGCTCCAGCAGGTTCTCATTGACGATTCCGTCAGAGGCAGCGAAGAAGGCAAGGACATGAGAGATGAAGTAACGCTCATCGTCATTTAGGCGGTTGTTCCAGTCGTGCAGATCTTTAGAGAGATCAATCTCCTCGGCGGTCCAGAAGGAAGCTTCGGCTTTCTTGTACATTTGCCAAATCTGCGTCCAAGAAGCGGAGCATATTAGCAAACAATGCACACATAGAGCATCACGCGGAGGAAACCACTTTACGCGTGACGCGTTGTGGACGTGCGACTCACCTCGTGATACTTGATTGGAAATAGTACGAAGCGATGAGGGTTCTCTTGTAGCAGTGGTTCATTTGCCTCGAGTTCCTTGATGCTCTGGGCAACTTTAGAAGCTTCCGTAGGCTTTTCCGCACTCTTTTCGGCCGGCGCGTCGGCTAGGGTTGTGGCCGACGGCGCGTTTTCCTTGCCCACAACACCGAAGTTGAGCTTCTTCACAGGTGAATCGCTCATCTTGAGGTTCTCGAGAGAGGACGCAGCCTACATGAAAAGCAATGTCAGTGTATCCTGTTGCTGTGACGCGTCTGCAGTAGGAGGCAAGGAAGTGACATCAGGTACCTGCTTGGAAGGAGTAACTTGCGCAGCCATTTCGTGGAGCGTCTGAAGCAATGGGAGGGCAAACTGCAAGACAAATTGATCACACAGACACAAAAGAAGGCTTCTAGACTGGGCTGAGAAGATGGGATGGAGAGAAAGCAGCTGCTGGGAAGGAGGAAGAGCTGGCAGAAATACTTGCTTCAGACGAGGCAGCGTGATCCTTAGCGCGACGGGCTAAGTCACGTCGCACGTGACTTGGCGCGCTTTTTGGGCTCGGTGGCTGGCGGAAAATCATTTATTACGTATTTTAGTGTTTTGGTGTCGCGTCTGCCAGGGACGAACACTGCAAGGCAACAACTCCATCAAGCCTGGGCGCCTCCAGTCTTCCAAAGGAGTAATTCTTGGCTCATACACTTCGGTAGTCTCGAGCTCCAGCAGTCATGTTGTATCTACTCCGTATTATCCACAGTCTTGTTGGTCAACTTACAAGTTATCAAATGTGATTCACATGTTAGATTCTTGTAGAAATAAAACTGGCTATCATGAGTTTCAAGAGACAAGGCTTTCCCATAATTATCCTTTTGAGTGACTTCTTAGTGTCGCGTCATTCGCGTCCAGATAGTTATCTTATCAGATCTGATGTGATCATCAGCTGCACTGAGATGGCCAGACTCTGGAAGGAGAGCCCACCAGACTTAAGCCAGCACTAAACTGGCCTGCACCTGTATTCATTTTTAAACCTGCTTCTTGTGCCTGTCGCCACATGCCTTGATTTGAATTGACATTCTAGAATGTTTCCTCTGTCCTGCATAGCTCGCACGCGGGTGTGGCTCATTATCTTATCGCACTACCGAGGACGCGACTTACGTTCGACCATGCATTCTTGCTCACGTCCATGGCCCCATCTTCTTGAGTATTTGGGAGTTGAGGTTGAGTAATGATCATATAAGCTGGCTTAGCACTTCATTCGATACCACCATCCGACGGAATGAGACCATGTCCGGCCTAAGGTGGGTGCGACGCGATATTTCGGAAGAGGAAAGCCAATTAAATGAGGGCAGCTTTCGAAGACTTAGCTTCCACAACGGATTTACGGGTATACGTACGGAGACCATGGTTTACCTCTACTTTGCACTGTATATCCCTTGAATTCCTCCTGGATTCTCAACTCCTAACACTGATCCATGCCTGATGCTGGAACTACCTAGCCCATTGGGTGGGTCTCGCTTTCACTCTTTACGCTCTGTTCACGAAAGAGCACGAAAGAGGAGATAAACGCGTCTTATGCCAGCTGGTGACCTTTTCACTCTTACATTGTCTCTTCTAGGCTTGATTACTTGTCCTTGCCTTTTCACCATCCATCAGCGGCATTGTTATAGGCCCCGCCTGATTGCTGTTTGTTCTGGGATCCCTCAGACAAGAAACATTCAGCCATTTTTACATGTTGACTGATCTTAAGAGTTAGCTGCGCTGCCTGGGGTGACGCCTTGCATCTCTAGCTCCTGATACCATATCCGGCGCTCCGTCAACAAGCCATCCGATGTGGTGTAATGGCTAACATCGCTGTCTCTCACACAGCAGCTCGGGGTTCGATTCCCCGCATCGGAAATCACATTTTTAGTATTTTTAGTATTTTATTCTTGTCTTCGTCCCTTTTCGTTTCCTTTTTGGATATCTCAGTCTGCAGATAATCCTGAAATGAAGATTGCAGATCGGCAGGATTATCCTCTCAACTCTGAAAGCCGGGTTGTGCGCTTTGCCGAATGGAGAGGTAGATCCCATCTATTCCCAGTTGAACTTTCCGGTACGGTAATTGTAACCATCTCGTCACCTCGGCCAGTCAGGGACGTGTATTGGAGGGGGTTTAGTCTCCGAGTAGCCTCTGTCTACAGGTACGCTGTTTTGCGTGGTCCATTTCTTCGATGCCCTTGTTGTAGGTAAAGACGGAGAACTTTTTCATCTTTGTCCGATGTGGTGTAATGGCTAACATCGCTGTCTCTCACACAGCAGCTCGGGGTTCGATTCCCCGCATCGGAAGAAGACAGCTCCCCTTTTTTTGAGATATGTTCTTTTTGGGGGTTGGTTTGGTTCTCTCTGCTCCCTCGCTCGCAATAAGCTGCAGGGCGGGTTTCCGAAGAGCTTTTTTGTTTTGCGGATTTGCGGATTAACACGGGTCCCGAGGATGCTATTTCGTGGGGCTAGTTCGAGAATAGGTACGGGGTAGTTGAGCTGGGAAAGTTGTTGGTAGTCATAGGCCTGAACACATGGTCCCTTTCTAAGTTCTCACAAGAGCCGTCTTGCGTAAGTCAACGTGGCATTTCCGCCCACTACAGGCGGGCTGATGGTGATTTGGGAGGTGGTACTGCAAGTTGGCCAGTCATGACCAGGTAGGTGCTGTTCAACGGGGCCGAGTGAACACTACCATCTAGTAATGGAAGCTAAGATACCCGCAGACCGAATCACATCTAAGAGCGGCAATTGCTGAGACAGAAGTGACAGCATCGGGAAGAAACCAATGAAAGGCGAAAAAAAAAATCCTTTTCCGATGCGGGGAATCGAACCCCGAGCTGCTGTGTGAGAGACAGCGATGTTAGCCATTACACCACATCGGAGAGCTTGCAGAAGGATCTGCTTCTTAACCAGCTTTTAGCCTCATATTGCAGAGAAATCATCAGAAACTCTCCAGTGACCAGTCATGGGTCGCGGCATCACCTTGGCACGGTTCTAGAAAGCCAGGTATTGTTCCGATTGGTTAACTGGAGCAAGACGGTCTCGTTCGACTGACTTGGCGGAAGAGCCGTAACCTATTGCCAAGACACTATCTACTTTGAGTACATCGAGATTATGGCCTCTTTTAACGGTTTGCCTCCTACGCATGAGATCTTTTTTAATATTGTTTGATCTTCCTC